TCCACAAAAGACTTGCTACAATTTGACATCGATTCAGAGTTAATTTTTTGTGGTTAAGCATTATTTTTGGAACAGTGAATTGCATAATCATTTTATATAGTGTAGGCAGAACTAGCTTTGCTTCTAAAATGTATTTGTACAATATTGATTTTTAGAAAATGGAATTTAGTGTTAAAACCAGCAGAAATTGCAGCAAGGGCCTAACCTACAAGGATATAAAATGCATAGAGCTTGTTTTTAGGCACATAAACTCTTTGACACTGCTTCGTGTACACTAGTGTTTCAGTTTATTACCTGGTCTTTCATTTTGAAGGGTGCCTAGACCTTTATAAAAGAAGAAATAAGCCTTTCCACTAGCAGAATTCAGCGAGATGAATATTAGGAACCCTAACTGTGATCTTAAAAGTTTAGGAATTAAATATGAATAAACAAAGATTAGCATTCCTTCGATGTCCATGTAAGCCTGTGCCTATGTTTCTGTCTAATTTTAAACATTCTCTTTGAGAGATATACCTGCTTCTATTATTCTGGGCAAATTTCCTCCTTCGTTATTATATGTAACATTTACTTTGAATAGAAACAAAAGTGGATTGGAATTCAAAAAATAGATTTAGCAAATGGTTTTAAAATGTTAGTCCTTTCATTCATTGTTTGAGTTTTGTAGACGAGAATTGAGGAAGAAAATGCAGTTTTAATTTTCAGATGAATTCTGTTTGGGGTTACAGTTATATAAGGTCTAACTTTACATGCTCTACATTGATTGGGTGATATTGTAAATAATTTTCCACTGAATGATTATAGTAATTAATATGAAACACTTCGCACTGAACTTTTTTAGTGATTTCTGTAGATTAGGAAGGAATTTTTCTATTCAGAAAAATTAAAATGTAAAGATTTTTTGTAAAGAAAATGTAAAGAAGCATTTAAAATTTCTTGAGATTTCTTTTTCTCTGAATCTAATCATATTTCAAGACTCAATGCGTTAAAAACTCTTACTTTGTTAAGATCTTGATTGGATAGATTTCCCGGTAACTTCTCATTGCTAGAAATGAATTTAAAGGAAGGGTTCTCAAATTGAGATTTGTAGCCCTTTGGAGGAATTACTCTGAAACAGTAAGAGATTCAAGGAAATAGACAAGATTAGAATTCGAAGGCAAACTGAACTACCAACATTCGTGTTTTATGTTTTTTAATGTGGGATTTTTGTTTTTTCATTTTTTGGAGATACTTGTAGATTCACATTCAGGGAAAAAATTAATACAAAGATACCCTGGATAGTCTTCACCCAGTTTTCCCCATCTCTAGTACAATATCACAACTATGAAGTTGATGTTGATCATTGAACACTTTTTCAGCCCAAGTATGTGTGTTCCTTCTCTCCTCAGAGAGTCATTGGCCATCTCCTTTACACTTATTATTACCTTGCATAAAAGCATTAGCATAAATACTTCCCCAGTGCTGATCCTGTGCCCACCCCTCACCTCTCCGAGACTAAGCAAAGGTTTTCTTTTCAACTAGATGGACGATGTTTCTGGAATGATGGAAGTTTAGAGAAAAGGTCAGAGAGAGCAAACACTTGTGTGCCCTACAGTAGAGTAGCAATATAGTTGTGAGTAAGAGAAGAAAAATGACCCATTCCACTCAGAGTCCTTTCTGAAATGAGCTTTCTTGCTCTGGGAAGTTGCTGTTCTAGTCACAGCCAGAAGGAAAGTGATGAGAAGTGGCAGGTTGGGACCAACTTGGTGGTGTAGTGGTTGTTCACTCACTCCACTTGAGTGGGCTGGGGTTCACGGGTTCAGATCCCAGGCACAGACCTACATCAAGCCATGCTGTGGCAGCATCCCACATACATAAAATAGAGGAGGATTGGTACAGTGACAATCTTCCTCAAGCAAAAAGAGGAAGATTGGCAACAGATGTTAGCTCAGGGCCAGTCTTCCTCACCAATAAAAAGAAAGAAAGAAAGAAAGAAATACCGTTGATGGTTGATCAACAGTGCTGATGATTGGAGGGTACCCATTCTTGCATGTCCGTGCTAGCTCCAGAGCAGCTGGAATGTGCTCTTCCATGTCAACAGATCAGAACCAGCTGGACAGGGTATTTGTCTTTGAGAGGTTCGAAAGTGGCAGACACGCATTATCACTCCTGTTCTTTTAGGTTCACATATGTCTACTCCTCGATACATATGTATTTGGCATTGGATTATCATACACTATCATACCAACTCTAATCACGTTATCTCATATATCATTGTGTGAGTACCATGAGATTTGATCACTCATCCTCATTGTGTCCACTTACACCAAAGTCATGAAACTATTTGGGGCCATTCAGTGTCAGGAGTGCAGCAGCCCTAATGTCAGGAAAGACAACAAAACGTGTCCCAAATGGAGATTACGTCACTCTTATTTTTGCCTTTTCAGATTGATGGGTCAAGACTCTTAAAACTAGAGACTCTAACAAGAATTACTGGCTCATCATGTAGTTTATTCTATTTAGTTGACATGTAACTGGATTTTGAGTCCTGAATGCTTCTTGTTGATTGGTGCTCTACGAATTTAGCTGTATAGCAGAAGGGTTTGGTAGCTGTTTAGAATGAGGCAGAAGAAAAATAAAATGAATAAAATAAAATAATGTGCCATTATGTTTCACTCAGTGTAGGAAAACAACAATATGTTGTAATGTCATTTCTGGACTGGGAGGTTTTGCCTGTATCAGAAGTAAGAAATTGTTCCTAGGTCCCACACAGGAGCAAATACCTGTCATGGATAATCTGCATTGATGGTCATTCTTTCATATCGTTACTCAACTTGTGCCCAGCTGAAATTCTACCACTTTATTGAGTACATGGCAGATATCATAAAGACATGTTTCCTGCCCCTGTGTAGCTGTGATGTGTGCCAAAGGGCCTATGGCAGACAAGTATCAGAAGACACCTATTTGGTGCTCTAAGAGGTATAAAATGTGAGGATCACTGTGAACTGTTGGGGTGTGGTGAGTTTTTTTGCCCATGCTCCTGTGACCTAGGGTTGTGCGATGGGGTGAAGGTATTCTGTGTCTTCCGCGGTGGCAGTGGCCATTTGTAACTCCAGTCCCAACTCCATCCACAGTGTAAGCTCAGAAGACACCATTACCTTGTAGTCTTGTTGGAAATACTACAGCCCGAGGAAGAAATTAATGATGAGTATTATCATGTCTTAGAAATAAGAAAAAGCACGTCACATGGACATGTACAAATTGGTGAGGGAGATGCAGAGAAGGAGGGAAAAGCCAACCTGTAGGTGTTTATTACAACTGAAGATAAGATCGGGGAGTGGAGACCACTGATGGCTGTGGTTGGCGGGGACCCCACATCTGGGGCCTTTAGCTCTACAGCCCAGAAGCTGCTGTGTCAGTAACTCAGAGATGATCAGACCCTCCAAAAGTAATTTACCCTTTATAAGTTAGAATGCTAGTCCTTTAATTTGGGGGGGATAAATCAAATTGCTAAGTGGATGGGATATTGTGTCAACAGGTTGGCAGATTTTCCTCATAAAGGAGAATTCTATGCAGAAAGCTAACTAAAAACACATCATGGCTTGGTGAGCGTGGACTTTTCAAAGCAACTGTCCTGAATGAGCTGACCGTAATGATGGGTGACATTGACCTTGATGCTCTGGAGCCAGATGTTTCCATCTGAAAACCATCTAAAGAGAGCAAGAATCATCTTAGATATCTCTTACACAGGGCATTTCTCCTGCAGATTTGACACTCAGCTTCTGGACTCAATGCTGACCGTCTTTCCCTACTCTGTTAAACACCATCATGATGGCAGCAGGTGTTTATTACCATGGTTTTGCCATCACATCTTTGCCTCAGTTGGAAGGAGCAGTGAGTGGTGTGCAGAGGGAAGTAATATAGTAATTCCCTTTTACATTGACATTGTGGATCTCTGTCTTGGAGTGATTGATTAGAATCATTCTGTTGAATATTCCTAATTTGGAAGCTCTCGGTTGTGCATGACTTCTGTCTTTTAGAATGGTGCTTTCCCCTGGCATGTTTCTAAAACTAAGAATGAGCAAGACGTCTGTGTGTGCTAGGGCATCTCTATAAGCCTAGGTAAGGCAGGGCAGAAACCCAGAGGGAGAATTGTTTTACTTCTAAGAAAAATGGCATATACATAGCAGGCAGAGTCCTTATTCTAATCACGGTGACTTTACAAATGGAATCGGACAGGGTTATGAAACTGATCTTGAGGAGGGTGGCAAAGCATGTGGACAGGTAAGATATGTTTTAATGTAAAACAATGCATGGTATGTATTAACAAATTAGAGTTGGTTAACTGTGTTTTATTGTTTGGGACATTATTGTCCAAGAGACTGGTAAACATAAAATCAAAAATTGTCTTTAATTAAAGAGTTCATGTAATCGACCGTAAGGCGCACTTACAGATATTCCGTATGTTTTCAAATATAGTCAGTCAGTGGACAAGCTGGCTCTCTGAAAACGGGATCACACTCAAACTATGTGTAATTATTTTATGCTTCAAGTCCAGGCAATCGTTTATTAAGGAAAACAATCAGATGTTTGTGAGAGGTTAAATTTTTTGCATCATAACCAGACACAATCCTTTTACCTTTAAAGCTGATTAGAAGTTATCTTAAAAGAAGTTTATCTTTTATAGTGAAGAAATGTTTTGATATGCAGACACCTTGAGGCATCTAATATTAATCTAAAAGCAGCTAAAAGATCTGTTCACCTCTAGCTGGAATCCTTTTATTACTACTGAGAGCTACATTCATTAAACCAGCCGAGAATGCCCTGCTTTGTTTCAGAGGTAATTCTAAAACTCCTGGTAGGTAATTAAATTCCTCAGTAAATGTTTGGCAGATGCTGCTAATAAACCCAGCCCGAGTTACCACTGGGAGGGCTAATGCGTAAGAAAAGTAAACATGTGTACATGAACAGCGAGCCCGTGCCTTTTCATGCTAAATGTGGTTCCCCACATCTCCTCTGATTAGAGGTGTGCTCTGAACAAGCCGAGACGGGGCCATGCCGAGCAATGATCTCCCGCTGGTACTTTGATGTGACTGAAGGGAAGTGCGCCCCATTCTTTTACGGCGGATGTGGCGGCAACCGAAACAACTTTGACACAGAAGAGTACTGCATGGCCGTGTGTGGCAGCGTCAGTAAGTGGACCTTCCTCCAGCCTGGCCACCTTTCGTCTTTCTCGCCACTGATTCTGCTCTTTGTAACAGATTGGTTTTCCTGGTTAATGGGAATGGGTCTGTTGCTACCACTAACCACATTTCTGTCAATTTCTCTAATTGCCGGGCGTCTCCTCCGGTCTGTTCAATCGTGAGCGCACATCTCCCTCTTTCTCTAATAAAGCATGGCCACAGATGTGTTCTTTTACTAGCTGTGATGCATACGTCTTGCAATCTCTAGGGTCCTCTGAGTGCTTCTCCTTAAACCAAGCTGGAGTTGCTGCTTTGTTTTCTCGGCTGTTTCTGCAAATGTATTCTTATGTGTTTGTCTGCGTACATATGTGTTCGGGTCTGTGCATGTGCCACTTCGTGTGCAAATAAGGTTGACCACTCGAAGCCTGGCTGATGGAGCTTTGGTGGACTGGCAAGGCGGATTGCTATGATGAGTACTTTTAAGTTATTTCATAATACGTGACTTTTATTGTGGTGGCGAGGGAATGTGATTGAATTGAGCACATGCATTTCAAACGCCACAGGGTAGAAATGACCCCATGGCCCCTGAGCTCACACATAGACATTTGCAATGTCGAGTTTTCATATCTTCTCTTGGAAATAGATAGAAGAAAAAACTCAACATTAGAAACCTTCCATGACATAAGGCTCAGGGAATATCATTTTCAAAGGCTCCTCTCTTGAACTTTAAGCTTTTCATAACTCTGGGGGATAAATAAATGAAGTCATGATGACCTAAATTTGAGTTGAAACTTTTTCCACAGAAGTAGTTCTCAGGAGGCGATGCACAGACATATGGGGCTTCTGTTCTTCACAGCCTTCCACGCTAAATTCCCAATTTTATTTTACTTTATTTTTTATGAGTAGGAAGTTTGAACTACTCAATTTCTCAACTTGATAAATTAAAGATAAAACAATAATTGTGTGTTTCTTTTTTGAGCGACTCCTGCCTTTTCTCCTTGTTCTTGTGAGAGTGACAGACACCATTTCCTCCCTTGGATTCCTAGGAATTAGATGAATTGTTTTCCGGTATGATTATAGGATTATGCAAAACAGCAAAAGTACCTGCATCATTAAGACATTCTATTGTGAAGCCCAGTATCTAAGTGGAATCTAATGGAAAAGTTCCTGTTGGTCTCTTGTGTAAGCCATGACTCCACTCCGAGCCTGTGAGAACAGGTGTAGGAATTGGTAACCCCAGGGGCTTCTTTTCTGGCTCTGATTGGATGATTGCAGCGTCTAGCTCGAAAGACTGCTTTCTTCAGTTTCAAACAAAGATGTTAATTAGGTCAGGTAACATGGAAAACAATAGGCGATTCTGTCGCCTGGAGCCTCTTGAACAAAGGGCTTTTGTTAGAGTGATTCTAACTGGTTTAGCTGCTGGGGGAGATTTCCTGGTAGATTTCCAATTTTTTTCTCCCTTTCCCTGACTTAGATTTAGTTTTGGGAATATAAATATGTCTATGTGTATGTGTATATATATGTGTGGTGTGTGTGTGTGTGAGTGTGTGTGTGTGTGTATAGATATATATAATAAAAAGAGGGTTTTTAAAAATTAATAGCAATGACGAATTTGCCTCGAGAATCAGAAATTACCCCTCCCCAAAAAACCCCTACTACTCTCCCCACTACTCACACCTTCTCTGTTTGATTGGTTTGATTTGACTTGGGCTGGAATCAAGAGCAGAGGGCACTGCAGGTCAGATGGAGCCTCTGGGGGTGCTCTTGATGGCACACACTTTGTTGAGAGATTTGCAGAAGGAAGATGCTCCCAAGAAAGGTGTAAGGGCAAGCTGGGCAGTACTTCGTTTCCAGGAAGGTGTGTTACAGAATAATGTATCAAGAAGGCAAACCTGAGAGGCTGAAGGTTAGTTAGAATAGTGGACAGATGTAAGTGGAGAATAAATCCTCAATAAATAGAGCCCGAGGCCGTACCACGAATGTGTGAAGCGAATAGAGATGCTGTGAACAACAGATGGATGGGAATTGGTGATGCTTGGGACCAAGGAGGGAAAATAGGAGCAAGAAATCCGTCAACAAGGCACTTGGATGTACTGTCGGAGACAAAATATCCAGCATCCTAGGACGTCGCTGTGGAAATAGGTTTATATGTTTACTCTGGTTCCATGCTGGGGCCAAAACTCAGGATATTTGTTTGGTTTTTGTTGTCAATTCAATCTTTTTGTTTCTGTCTTTTCCTTTGGTCAATGGAATTGTGTGAGTGAGTTTCACCCCTCATTCCCATGTTTCTATTTTTGTTTTTAGTCATGCTCTCTTATTTTCTCCATAGTGTCCCAAAGTTTACTCAAGACTCCCCAGGAACCTCTTCCCCAAGATCCTGTTAAACGTATGTTGTAATTCACTTGAGGGAGGGGAGGTGTACAATGCATGGCTGGATTCTAACTCCAGCATCATCACCTTCTTTGCATGGTTTTGTGTTTCTTGAACACCTGTCTTTTAATAAAATGTTTATTTTCATTGCCTTACTTGTAATTATGTCTGATTTTGCCAGATAACTTCAGATGTCAGGCTAAGAACATCAACTAAGCTTCTATTTCTGATCAGTTTTTTTTATTTATTTAATGTGGTTCTATAAAATACTGTATATAAACGTTAGTATTGTATTTTATTTGGCGTCACTATTTTATTTCCTAAAGCTAACAAGATGCCACGATTTAATGAGAGGCCATGTATATAAGTGACTTGTTTCCCAGAAAAACATTTAATATGCATGCATTGTACTAACTACATGGACTAATGCATATGCACAGGCTTCAATTATGTGTCTTATAAGACAGCTGTTATGCTTTAGGAAGTGAAAGGTCACTATTAGAATTCAGGGCTACCTCTTCCTCCTCTCCCTGACTGTACACCAGTGGACCAAGATGCCCAACTTCTGATTTTATCATTAAGATGCAGAAAAAGACCTTCCTGTAAGGAAATGTTATATCAACCTACCTTACAGTTTCTGTGCTTTGTGATGATTTCAGTTGGCAAATCAGTCTAGCTTGGTTTAAAAATGTGGTGTCGAACACACAAATACTCATCTTTAAATTTGGATTATAACCAGAAATAGATTTATCCGGTATTAGGTTAGAAATGATATATACTGTTGCGGCTCGTGGTTGCTGGATGAAGAGACACGGTTTCAGTTATAGCTTAGATATAATGAAAATTAACATTTATCCATATTAGTCTGAAAAAATCTAGTCTTAAAATTGATGAAACCATTTATATGTTTTTTTTTTAAAAATTAAAGGATAGTTGGAAAATTATGTAATTTGCAAAAGATTTCATCATAAACCATAAAATTTTTAATGGCCTCTTTATGATTCAAATTCATTAAAATTATGTATAACATTTTGAAGGATGTGGTTTGTACCACAATAAACATGTTCCCTGCGATTATGAAAAAACTTATTTTCTGAGAACATTGAAAGTGTGGCAAGTGGGCAGACACAGAAGTACTCGGAAAAACTCTAGATATTAGAATTGATAGTGCATTGATCTGTGGGAGGTGTTGCATTTTATCAGGCATTTTCACAGATCATTTATTTTTCTCAGAACTACTTTGTGGGCACTTTCCTCATTTCCTTTGTGCATATAACAAAATGAGGCTTAAAGAGCCTAGTGACTTGTCCCCAGCCGTCAAACGTGGCAGGACCAGATTTGAAACCTAAATGATATTGTGGCTATGCTCCACACTCCAAATGGCCAAGAATTTGGTTCTGACATTGAGGTTAGGAAAATGATATTTGAGGTTTAGAAGTACATCATAAAAATACAGAAAATAGTGGAAAGTGGACAAAGAATATTAAAAACGTTTTTTCCTAAATACCATGAATATAGCATGCATCAATAAATTAAATGTCTTTCCCACCCTTTTACAAAACAATAACTATTTTTACTTTGTTTCATTTCATTTTAGCATACAAAAGGATTTTTTTAATTTTTGTGAATTAATAGAAATGAGCATCATCATTTGATAAATTTATTTTCATGAAGTACTTGCTTCCTCAACTCTTCCAAACAGACACTGAAAATCTCTTGTCATTTTCTCTTTCCCAGTAATTTTCTCAATCTACTTGTAATGTAAACACCTTTCCCTTCTAGAATGGTGAGGTGATTTTGGCAGCTATATTTTCTTGTCTACCTACAGAGACTATTCAATCATAGGAAGTGAAGGGTTTTGCAGTGCTCGTACAAACAGACTGGAGAAAGTCTATAATTTCTAGTTATTTATAGCCTGTGCAGCTATGCTATCTTATTTATAGCAAAGCTGCACATTTGAATTGAAAAAGCCATGGTCATCTGGAGGTCAAGTGCAGATCGCAGACGGGAGTCAGAGAAAATGAACCAAGCTAGAAAGGAGAGCAAGCCCGTTTGATTGGGCAACTTGTACTTGCACTCCGCTCCTCCACCAACCTAGGTAACCAACCTAGGGCTAGTTGGAGGATATCTCTTTTCACAAAGGTGGGTGGTTTTATGGGTTTCTCAATCTGAGTTGCTTTTAGTCAAGTAATATATGTGAAATGAGATAGAAAAAGCTCTTCAGTTAAACTGATATAAGATTATATATATGGAGAAAATATGTGATAGTCTGCTTTACAAATACAATAATTTTCTTGTCAAGACATTATTACAATTACACATTTCTAGATTTTAAATCTTTGTCATAAAAAAGCCAATTTTGAGTATTGCAATTTTAAGGGACACCGATTTTTGTTTTGGTTTTGTCATCATAGATAAGAACCTAAACCACAAATAGAAAAGATAGAGACATGAGGCTAAGAGCTTTCATTTTACTCATAAACTTATGGATTTGAATCCTTTAAAAAAATCCATTGCCATTTGGGATAAAGTATCTTGGGAGACCTGAGTTGTCTCTGACATTCATTTTGTGTCTGCCCATTTGGGTTTAGGACAATGCAAAAGTTTCACATTCATTCTGCCCAGTGTAGTGCTTTTGAACAGTAAAATTGCTATGTAAATATTTATTGATTGTTTCAAATATGAGAGTATGATAATCTTTTCTTTCATCTCAGAAGGCAAACAGACCAAGTCCTTAATGGCATTTCATATCACAAAGAGCATCGTGCCAATTTTTAGTCAGCTGACTGCGCCAAGGGGTCTGGCCAAAGAGAATGACAAATGACCCATCTTTGGATCCTTCACTTGCAGTGAATTATGACACAAACAACATCTAAACCAAGGTCTTTCAACCTCAACAGTAGTGACATGTGGGGCCAGATTGTTGTGAGTGTTGTCCTGTGCACGGAAGATGTTTAACAGCCTCCCTGGCCACTACCCACCAGATACCCGTAACAGCACCCTGGCTGTGATAACTAAAAATGTCTATAGGCTTTGCCAAATGTACCCTGAGGGGCAAAATCACCTTTGGCTGAGAACCTCTGATCTAGACTAGTAGTTTGCCCACATGTGATTCAGAAATATAGCTAAGCTGGTGTAAATAGGTAGACTTTCCATAAACTTAGGGCATGCTAAGGTGTTAGAAGCCTCCAATTCTTAACATATGTTTAAGAAATTGAATTCTTCAGACCACTATTCTAGCTCTCAGCATTTACAAGTTAAGGCAGAAGTTGCTGTTGCTCTTCTGACTGCAGTATTAGAGGTCTCTTCGATTTTCTGCTCTAACGTAAGTGCTGCTAGAGAAGCAGAGAATAAAGCAGCAGTCCCCTGGGTTGGAAGTGCCTGGTTCACCTGTGTGCCACCCTGTCCTCTGTCTGCTTCACCTCAGTTTCGTGGAATCCCAGCATATGCTAAAGAAGGACCATCTGTGGAGAGGCCACATAGCTTGCTACACAGCTTACTTGGGCATCGAGGATGTATTTTGGGATCATGTTTATGGCCATAGGGTCTCTGCAGAGGTTCAAGTCTAGCCTCATGCAGGATTGGGGAAGGGGTGAAGATTGATTTCTGTTCCCATCAGAATGGCCCAGATAGAATAGAATAGAATAGTACACTTCCAGAGAATATACAAAGAATTGGGACATATCAAATAAGACCAAACCACCACCCCCAAGGTCTAAGATTGTTGCCTCAGAAGCTCACAGTTTGCAAACTGTACATGACTCATTGTGTGACTTTTGAATGGCATGTTCCACCTTAGCCCCAGAGTCGTCATATCCTGTCATAATGCCAAGGCTATCTTGTCTTTGGCCAGAATTGAACCATTGTTCTTAATCACACTGTACTTGTTCTTCCAATTGTGCAATAGCAAGTATTAGTTCCCGTTAATACATTCTCTTAACAGTAATGGAACTGATATTTTTATGAAACTGCCAAGCATTATTTAAAACAATTAAAAGCATTAAAAGATGTGGTGGTGCATTAAATTACATGTCACATCAGTGCCAGTAAAATCTATTAGATTGGCAAGTATGAGAAGCCACATCTTTGGTATCCAGAAATGATCAGATAAAAAGAATGGCTTTTTCCCCTGAGCTATCATAGTGAGAAACCCTAAGACTGAAAAGAATTGATTTGCTCAGCAAACTAGCATTTAAAAAAAAAATTTACTAAGGACAGTAAAAAAATGCTCATTGTATATGTGCTTTGCTCTTTAACTATTTCCAAGAAGAGTAAGTAGATAGTTTAATTAAAGGGTCAGCAAAAATTTTCCATACGAGGCAAGATCGTCAATATTTTAGGTTTCACAGGCCATGTGGTCTCTGTTATAAGTATTCAGCTCATCATTTGTAGCATGAAAGCAGCCAAAGACAAGAGGTAAATGAATAGATACAGCTATGTTCCATCCAATAAAACATTTGTTTACAAAAAGAGACCAGTAAGCCATCCCTTGGTTTAAAAAGCTGTTACTTTTGAGCCCAGAATATGCTAGTGCTAAGCTTGTTATTTTGAGGGACACCAGCAAAGTAAACCAAATACCCTGCTTTCAGTCACTTGCCAGTTTTGTTGATGAGATGAGACGAGACCCAAGTATGTGATGGAATTAAACAATAATATAAAATGAAATATACAAGTGTGGGAAAAGATTGCTGTGAAGGGCCAGAGTAAAATGAAATTGGTTTTATCCTTAAGACCTCCATAGAGGTTAACAGTTACATCTGGCTTTTACGGCCACAATTTCTATGAAAGTGGGCAATATTGAAGATTTTGACTTTTTGAACTCATCTGTTGAGTGTTGAGCAACTGTGACAGGTCATCCCTTTATGATCCACCATTAGTGAAGTTGAGAGTAGCTTCCGACAAATTGACAAAAAACAATAACTGAAGGTTAAGACATTCTAGATGCCAGTTATTATTGCTGTTGCTTCACGTATGTTTTTTAGAATCAGACTTGAAGATGCTTTTAAATTTTGGTGC